CAATTTTACTGACATTTCGTTAAAACTGACATTTTTTTCTAAATTCAGAAAATTGAGCGTACCAAAAAACAGCATTTTTTAGTGCTTTTTTGTCCCCATGACGTCGGATGATCAGATTGGCCGGTGTCGTGGCAACTCCCCATGATCTGATCATCAGATGTATGTTAACGGTACTTTATGTTGAGGCACATCAGATGGACAAAGTGAGATAACCACTTTCTCACCCAATGAGCAATTAAATTTTGACTAAGTCCACTTTCGTGAATTTAGAAAAAAATGTCAGTTTTAACGAAATGTCAGAAGTGCAATTGCAAACTGTATCTTGCTCCAAACTGCAATCATAACTTGTTTTTGTGACTCTACTAAGGGGAAACTATGTGGGAGTAACGAAAACGAGTTATAATTGCACTATGGGCCAAGATACAGTTTTGAATTACAGTTCGGGCAATGTTTACAACCCACCTTTCTGGGCAGGTACAGTGCCTGAATCTATGAATCCCCCGCGGTCATGACCGCGGAACTCGGATTGCAGTTGGGATCCCGACCGCCGGCCATGGCCCGGGCAGTTGGGCGCGGCCGAGACTTTGACATATTTAAAAAAACAAAATGGACCAAAATAAAACAAATATAAAAAAGGGGTTCTAGGGTTTGAAAATACCTACAACCCTATACTTTTTTTTTATTTAAAAAAAATAGATAACGGAAAAAAAAAGTATTTTAGTCAAAAGAAACGTAATAAAAAAGGGATTTTTTTTCCCACTCTGTGTGTGTGCGTGCGTGTGTGTGTGTGTGTGTGTGTGTGTGTGTGTGTGCGGGGGAGGGAAGGGTGACCCCATCCCCACCAATCAATCAATCAATCAATCAAAAAAAAGAAAAGTAAAAAAAAATAAACAGTGGGTTCGAACCGCATGTGTGCGTGCGTGTGTGTGTGTGTGTGCAGGGGGAAGGGCGCTCCCTTTCCCACCAATCAATCATTGACAACGAATCAATCAATCAATCAAAAAAAAGAAAAGTCAAAAAAAATAAACAGCGGGTTCCGCCCGTGCCTGTGTGTGTGTGTGTCGGGGGGGGGACCCCTCCCCCACCAATCAATCAATCAACTGATCAATCTACCAATCAATCAATCAACCCATCAATCCATCAATCAATAAATCTATCCAAAAAAAAAAATCAACCAATCAATGAACCAACCATTCAACCAATCCAAAAAAAAAAACAGCGGGGCCTGAGCGGGCTTTTCAATCGAAAGAAAAAATGAGAAGTAAAAAAAAAAGGGGGGGGGCCATGATTTTTTCTCTCCCCTCTAAGCCCCCCTTATTGGGATCCCCCCGGTTTTTTTTTTTTTTTTTTTTCATTGTGGGAAGGTGGGGCCCAGGTCCTGCCGCCGGAATCCTGACCCCGCTTGGCAGGACCCCCCCCCCCTCTGCCGCAGCGGGCCGATCTCGACCGGGACCGTGGCCCCAACCGCAGGCCGCGGTCATGACCGCTGTGACCGCGGCCGCTGGGATCACATAGGCCTGAAGTGCAATTGCAAACTGTATCTTGCCCCAAACTGCAATTATAACTCGTTTTAAATTTGTGAAGCTACTGAAGTCACCCCTTATATTAAACAGATCATAATGATGTGACTCGGACAGTAGTATGTACGTCGCACCGCAGATGGGTAATTTTTTTTTTTTTGCCCTTTTTTTTTTGCTGGTAATGTGTAATATACAAATTACATTACAATGTCATTGTATGATAGACTTGGGGGCCCTTATGTCAGGAGGGCTAGACCAGAGACAAGAAAACTTCTAAGTTCTTTTTTTTTTTTTTATAGAAAATCACCGGGGTGGATGCTAGGGGTGCTGATAACAGCAGGCACCCCTAGCATTCTCGGGAGTCTCCATCTATTGGTGGGGAGCAGCACCTGCTGGAAACTGGGTCCAGCGTCCCTGAACATTGCCGGTATTCTTGGTACTATACAGAGATATAGTTGCTCTCCAGCAGGTCTGCCAATTGTAGATCATGACATACCCAGAACCTTTAAAAAAAAAAAAAAAAAAAAAAAAAAAGAAGAAGAAGAAGAAGTTTATAGAGCTAGAATTACTCTTCTGCAGGACTGCCTATTGAAGATCATAGCATGCCCAGAACCTACCATAGCATATTGATGCAATTGTATGGTATCATTATGAATAGCGTGTGAGTCCATCCCCTGCTGAGCAGGGCCAGGGGGTAGACCATTGGAAGGGCTGCCGCTGGTAAAGGCCCGGGGGCACCGGGACCCAGCATTACAG